AGCTGCAGGCTTCGGGGTAAGTGATAAAACTGTATTAATCCACTTGAAGCAAATCGGGAAAGTAAAAAACTTGAACGATGGGTACCTCATGAATTGAGTGAATCGAACTTGCAAACACGCGTCGACTGCTGTGTTCATTCGAATCATTATTTGTGATGAATAGTGGATACTGTACGATAATCGGAAGCGCTCGTCACAATAGCTGAACCCTGGTGTCCCAGCCAAATCCTGCCCTAAACGAAAATTGACTCAGAAAAATTTACTTGTGAGTGTTTGATGGACGGTGTTTTTTTTTAATTGGCCAAACGATTACGGCAGATATCTATTACCAGCAACTACAAACCATAAAGGAAAAACTAGCTGCTAAACAACCATAAAAGTGTTGTAAAGTAATGATATGCGCGTCACGTGGTACTCACGCATGAATCAAAGAGTGGCGTCACTATGAACGGTGCGATGTGTCAGCAATACGGTATCTGGACCTATAAAATATCTTTGGTACAACTCTTCTTGATTTTTTTACACCAAGTTTTTTATATTGAAAATATTTTTTAATTTTTTTTTTTGTCGATGGACGTGTAGTGTATCATGTATGTATATTGTATGCTCATGAAGGAATATATACGATAGACGAAGAGATATTCAAGGAGTATCAAGTTTACAGTCAAGATCACTAGATCTATTATTTATTCCCTGAACCTCCCAACATTACAAGCCATCTAGTTTAAATTAAGATAAGGCGTAAAATACTAAGACAAGAGACATGCAGTGGTGTCAAAGGAGCTCAGGTCTGGTACCATAGATAATATACTATATAGGGCATAGATGAGCCACTAACAAATTATTTGGTGACGAAACGAGGGAAGTTTCTTCTCCGCTCTAATAGATGGCGTTGGAATTATAAATTACCGAAAAATACACTAGAAGGCGCCTATCACCTTGGTTCGGTATTATTTTGTATTTCGTAAATTTAATAAATAATACGTAATGTTCATAGTTAGTAATTAATTATTAATAAATTCGCTACATACAAAACTTTCTATACAGTTTTCATTTACTATGACACGAGTTGCTCTGTGTATTAAATAAAACTTATTTTGTATAATATATACCGAAACATTTCAGAACTGTGATAGCGTGATTTAGGCTCCGGTATAAATACTAAATTTTAGCAGTCATTTATTAGTTAGTGCCATATTTTGAGAAAAAATATGTAAGAATAGTAGAGAAAATAGTGCTTTTTACGACTGTGAGATGGTGCCAGTATCAACGTAAAATCAAGGAAGGCACTGAGGACATTTATACCCTTGTTTGGTACTGCGGTTGTCAATACTGTTAAGTGTGAAAATTAAGCTAAATCCTCCACACAACGACAGAGGTTTAGGTCCAGCAGAGGAATTCTACAGGGTAGGGATGTTGAAGTACTTAATGACCTCACGATCATGACCCGGTTTTTATAGAAGACAACATAGAATTGTCCCTGCTGAAGTTGAAGCTGCGCCGGGTTCCAATCTTGGGTCAAAACAGTTATTTGATTCTTGGGTTAAGATAATTTCTTGACTCTGAGTAGCAGGCTGGAGTCACGAAGTTGGCGGTGTTTAACATTAATGCCTCTGAAGGCACGTGAAGCCGTTGGTTTTGCGCCTAATCTCTTTTACGTCGTGTTGGCTTGTCGTTCCATCTGATTATGGGGGTGAGAGATTGCGCATATATAGAGAAACTATAATTTTAACTTATAAATTACATGGCTAGCCTCCGTCAAAACTTATAGCTGTGACCGAAATTCGGTATAAAGTATCCAGCCGTAGTTGCTGTCGATTTGCGTTTACTGTAGTTATTTATTTATTTTTTTTTATTTAAAAACTTAAACGTAACACCTTAAGCTAAAGGGGTACATAGGGCGGACTTAATGCCATGTGGCATTCTCTGCCAGTCAACCCTGGGTGCCAAGGACAATTGTTGGCAGGTGCGACCATTATACGTAAATAATTACATTAAAATATATACATAAATTAAAATATACATATATGCAAAGCACATATATACACATTACATTTAAGTATATATACACATATAGTATAAATATACATACAATAATACATACATACATACATATATATATATATATATATATATATATATATATATATATATATATATATTCGGGATCTCGGAAACGGCTCCAACGATTTTCATAAATTTAGTGTCCAGGGAGTTTCGGGGGCAATAAATTGATCTAGCTAGGATTTATTTTTAGAACATGTCTTTTTGTCCGTGTTTTCAGGCAATAATATACATGCTTATAAACTTCGTAAATAAATATACAAATGAATAATATGATGTTTGAATAATATATAATGAAATACTTAAATATCTGAAGTAAAAAAGAAGAAATAAAAACAAAAATTGAGGAAAATAATGTTAATTAGTAGTTTCCTTCAGGTAATGTTCTCGGAGAAGAACTTTGAAGACTTTTTTATTTGCGGCATTCTTAATATCGTTGGGGAGGGTGTTCCAAAGTTGTATAGCTTGTATCGTAAAAGACGACCTAAAAAAATTTGACTTATGCTGTGGAAACCTTAACCTCAGACGGTTTGACTGTCGGGATGTTCGACCGTCGATCGGATGAAGAAAATGAAAATTATCCTTAAGATAAGAGGGCTACCTTGGATCGTTTAAAATTCGGTATAAAGTATCAAGTAGAATTGCTAGAGCATCGACTTTGACGTTTCTGTGTTATGAACAAAATCCCTGTAGAAATCAGGACATTGATACATGTTAAAGATGAAAGTTTGGGAACACCTACTTAATGATTGGCAGAATCATCATCGTTACAGTTTTTTTATATTTTTTATTCTTATTTTTAAATAAATTCTAATTTATGTGACTGTATGTATATTTGTATATCTTTATGACTTTATACAGGGTGTTAGTGTTAACACCGTTATCCTTGGAACCAGTGGTTTGGTTTCACTTATAGAACGTAAATTCAATGAAAAATAACAACATTTTTTTTGTAAAATCTCAATTTTTCCTTAATTCCTCAATTTTTGCCTGTCCTAAGCTAGGATGAAAGTATGAAGGAAAAGTTACATCACAGGTTATGTGTACCTATTGTGCGGGCGGTGATCTTTACAGTGATTAGGTCACTCGGGCGCATAGGGTATCCATGAATTTACGGACATTGTCGGACAGAAACTTTTTAAATTTTATGAAAGAAAATAGCGTTTTTTTAATTCATTGAATTTACGTTCTATAAGTGAAACCAAACCACTGGTTTCAAGGATAACGGTGTTTACACTAACATAATAATATAATAATAATAATAATCTTTATTATATAATCTTTAAGATTAAGTATACTCGATAACAACAAATAACAAAATTAAGCTTACAGTTAAGTACTTCTACAATAAATATGAAGCTACTGCCATCTAAACTAGGCAGAGCCTGTATCTTAAATGTCAGGGTCTTCACCCAAAACATAGTACAAGGATTTAAGTACAGAGCAGTTATGCAATAATTTTAACTGATAAAGATAACAGTTTACTACCTAGGCTGCACTAAAAGTATCGGGAATGGAATATTTCCACTGTTCCTGTCATATTAAAATCTTTTTAATTGAAAACTCCTTGGTTTTAAAAATCGAATACCATTTATTTATTTAAAAAAAGATTCTCGGTCTTGTCACAAGGTTTTATCAAACTTGTTTAGTCGTTGAGAAAATGGAATTGACTCGAGAAAATTCAAGAGCGATGATTTATTATGACTTTCGAAGTGGATTAACACAAAAACAGTGTGTTGACCGGATGATTTCTGCATTTGGTGATGAAGCCCCATCCAAAACCACAATTTATCGCTGGTTTGCTGAATTTCAACGTGGACGTGTCAAGCTCAGTGATGATCCCCGTCAAGGTCGTCCAAAAAATGCAGTCACCCAAGAAAACGTTGATGCTGTCGACATGTGACATACCGCGAAATTCAGGCAACTTTAGACATTGGCATGAGTCAAATACAAATAATCTTGCATGAACAATTAGGTGTAAAAAAAGTTGTTTTCCCGATGGATACCGCATTCGCTCTGTGAAGAGCAAAAAAGCGGCTCGCGTTACTTGGTGCGTCAGAACTCTCGAAAGATTCCACGCAGGATCCTCAAATACTGTATAACAACATCGTATCAGATAACGAATCCTGGATATACGCGTACGAACCCGAAACAAAAAACCAGTCACGAGTTTGGGTGTTCGAAAATAAGTTGAAGCCAACTAAAATTGTTCGGTCACGGAGTGTTGCGAAAAAAATGGTGGCCAGGTTTGTCTCCAAAACCGGCCATGTTACGAATATTCCTCTTGAGGGACAAAGAACGATTAATGCGGAATGGTATGCTAGCATTTGTTTGCCACAGGTCGTTTCTGAACTCCGTAAAGAGAACTGCAACCGCCGCATCATCCTCCATCACGACAATGCGAGTTCTCACACCGCACACAGAACAAAAGAGTTTTTAGAGCAAGAAAACATAGAATTATTAGACAATCCGCCGTACAGCCCCGACCTAAGCCCTAATGATTTCTATACTTTCCCTAAAATAAAGAATATATTGCGTGGACAGAGATTTTCATCACTTGAAGCAGCTCTGGACGCCTACAAAACGGCCATTTTGGAGACCCCAACTTCCGAATGGAATGGTTGCTTCAATGATTGGTTCCATCGTATGGAAAAATGTGTCAAATTTCGCGGAGAATACTTCGAAAAACAATAAATACATTTTTAAATAGTATTGTTGTGTCACTTCCTTGATTCCCGAAATTTTCAGTGCCGCCCTCATATCAAGTTTACAAAATATATAACATCCTGTATACATCTAATATAAAAAATTATTATTTTAATTATTTTTACTATAGTTTATTTCATTTTCTTTTGATGTACCATTTATATCCTATGTACTTTATTTCCATGTATTACAAAATCAGGTCCGCCTATATAGCACGTGTGTACACGAAGTTATAAATAAATAAAAGGAATAAAAAGCAGTAGGTACGGACCTGCAGGTTGCAGAGGCGCACGTAGCGGCGGCAGTAGGCGGCCACGGCGCGCGCCGGCTGGCGCTGGTGGGGGGGAGCTGGGGGAGCCGGTGTCGGCGCACACGCTGGCGTGCGGCGGCAGCGCCAGCCACGCGGCGGGCGACAGCGTGCGCAGCTCGGCCGGGAACGAGTGCCACGCGCCGCCCGGCGGGCCGCGCCCCAGCACCACGTGCTCCACCTTGTGTTCACACGTTTTCATTAGTTAGCTGGCGTAAGACCCACAAACAAGAAAAACTGCGGTTGCCAACCCTCTTGACTAACGATTGAAAATCAAAGCGGGTCATTACTATGGTAAATATCGCATCTATGAGGCAATTTATGGACGAGGTCTATATTCAGCAGCGAATTTTTGATAAATATGACTACCTAAATATTTATGTATAAAAGTAAAAATTACAGTTATAAAACTTATTCCACAGTCGTGACAAGGCATCTGCGTTTTGATTCTTAATCGAGGATACATGTAGATGTGTATGGGCCACAGCATCCACTTAACATCAGGTGGCCTGTGTGCGTGTTTATCAACCTGCTCAAAATAATATAAAACAAAGGCCCTTTCCGGGTTTTGATGCAATTTTCGTCAATAGACAGAATGATACAAGAGGAAGGTTTGTATATATAACTACCTACTACCCCCGACTTCATCCGCGTGGAATTTATTATAATTACTTTACATCGATTTTATTTTAAACACGCGCAACTCTTTTACCTAAATATAAGGTCAAGAATACTCGGACACCTAGACGTGCATGTATGAAGAAGTTAATGAACATGAAAGAAGCGAAAGAGGTATGTAAGGATCGTGACACTTGGCGATCTGTTCTCTCTGGCTACCCCGTTAGGGATTGTGCGTGAAGATAAGTATAAGTAACCTCAGTTACTCCTTATAAAATCAACTATCTGGCAGTAAAAGTCCCGAAATCGGTTCATATATTTCAGAGATTAACCGGAACAAACAGACACACACAAACAAACAAAACTTTTAAAAATTATTTGTTTTTTATAAGTACCATATATAAATTCACATGCATTTAGTAAAAAGCTGTTATTTTGACATTACAAACAGACACTTCAATATTATTTATTTGTGTAGATAACTGCATATTATAGTAGAGAATTATATATAAATAAAAATCAGTTGCCGCATGTACTAAACATCATCACTTGAGCACGGCTGGACTGATTTAGATTACACTCACAATTTGACCAAACCAGGGCATACCACTAGTATACTATAAAATAAAAACACTGACCAGTACGAGATTGTCATTCCAAAACCTTTCTTCCCCATCGGTTATTGGTGTCTTCGGTTGTCTTCGGCCAGTTATAGTCTGCTCTATATGCAACTTCAGCTTTCAGATCCGTTGTGCTATAGGCCAAAAATTCCACTTACCATCAGATGTACTGGGTACTCATGCCTTATAACATAAAAAAGTACCCAATGAGCACCTACATCACACCATCAGAAGAACTTCGTCAGCAACGCATCAGCTTAGCATAGGTTATAACTCTCAAGAAATGCAGCTGGCGTCTTTTCAGAAAGGACTATGGTCAACCGTGAACTAAAGCTGATGGAGACATTGATACAAGATCATGTTGTACCTGTTTTTCAACGTCGTATTTCCACTCTATGAGAGGATCTGCGTGGAATCCCAAATCTGCACAGGGCCTTAGAAGATTATCCATCTGAAAATAATATTGCAGAATTTTTATATTTTATTTTCATTTGTATTGAATCATTACATTCCCTCAAGTGTGATCATATACTTTAACGGCGGCTCACGTGTTGCTGACATGTTCGGAGGTCGCTTCATACAGGGCTAAACATCTCGGCACGCCGGGATCGCTCCCCGAAGTAGCTTGCAACATCAAAGGACTGTTGAATTTCTTCGAGGAGATATCATAGCTCGAATAATCACATTACTCGTATTCCTGGCCACACGCAAAATACGCGCTTAAACGTGGAGTTGCGGAAAACAGCTCGTCGTAAACTAAACTAAACTAAACTAAACTAAAACGTGGTGGAGCCATGCTGCAGCTATATTATTGTTGTAGCATGGATGGGTCTGCTTGACCGGGGAGGACCACGCTCTCACAGAATACCAGCATAAAATAGCAGCTTAATGCTGCTGTGTATCGAATATTGAGTGTAGAGAATCGGAGATTCTTTTTACTGGAAACGAGGTATTCCATCTTAGTCCCCAGGGGTGACAAAGCATCTGCATCTACTTGCCATCGGGTGGGCTGTGTGCGCCAAAAAAATACGTCTGCAAAATTTAAGATCCTTTAGAAGTCTGCAAGAGGGTGAATATAGAATTATAAAATTCCACTACATCTACATCATATTCACACCCAAAAGGAAAAGAATTGAGTGTACCCAGAAGTGGGACGAATGTCTTCTATATTCTTTCGGCGTTCCTTCTGCGGTCATAAGGACCTCATTTTGAAACAGCAGTACAATAGATATACATATTTATTCATTTCAAAGTAAAAAAAAATTAACACACAATGGGCCACGTGGCCAGTGACATCAAAACAAGTAATTACCAATGGACGGGCATGATAATTAGAAACACGAGAATTTTGAAATAGTTCACTTTTACGGCTAAAGGAACAAAATGGTATATATTACGTTTTTGTTGTTTTTTTTTCTCAACAGGCTTACTTTTCTTTACATATTTCTCTATTGGTGTTTCGGTGAGATCATAATTTGAAGACTGATGGATTCAGTGTTTGGGTAGGTGACAAACGAGCACCCAGTCCACCTGATGGTAACTGGAAGCTGTGACCAATAGGCATCTACATTTATCCTCGATTAAAAATCATAACGCAGATGCGTCGTCTTTCTGAGGAATAAGATGGAATGCCTTGTTTCTAGTAAAAAAGGGTCTCCGGTACTCTACACTCACCATACGAAACATTTAGCTGCCACTTTACGCTGGTATTCTTTGAGAGCGTGGTCCTACCCCGGTCGAGCCGACCCATTGATGCCACAACTAATATAGCTACAGCGTGGCCCTGCCACGTACAACAATTGTACAAGTGTGTAGTGACAATTGAACTTTGACCGCATGGTTGCCACCAGCTTTACTGTCCAGTTGACGGAGTTGCTAGTGGAGTGGTTACTACTGCCACATAAGAAATTCACCGAGGAAATAGGTGACTACATATATACTTTTATATATATATATATATATATATATATATATATATATATATATATACTTTTTTTTATAGAAGAGGGGGCAAACGAGCATGCGGCTCACCTGATGTTAAGTAACTAAGAATGAAATTTCACAATGAAATCGTACAAAACACTCTCCTCACATCACAGAATAAATAATAGCTTACAGCATATGGAGTGTAGAGGTAAGGAGTACAGATTCTGTATAAAAGTGTCCGTAGTAAAGCGCTAAATAAGGGTGGCGCCACTGTAGCTACAGTCTAAATTTTAAAGGACTTTTTGTAATTTTTTTACTGCACAGACTTTCACCATAATTCTTTTACAATAATTATTTTATTGGTTTCAAATTTTTTATTTTCAAAATCACTCCTAACGTATTTTACGGCGATTTAGCTGTAGCTACTCGAGCGCTGTTGTTGAGAGTTTTAGAACTGTTATTTACTGCTTACAGATGGACACATTTTCCTATGGGAGATTGTCCTCTTTACCTCTATACTCCATGTTATATCGCATGGTTAATATTTTACAAAATGGCGGCCTTACTCCACCTGAACAGATGTCAGTGGCGTTGTATGCAGCCCATCGACACCCTGACGAAAGAAGACTACAGATGCGTTGTCACCTCTGAGGAATATGATAGAATACGTCACGGCCTGCAATTGTTCTGTACTAGCAGCGGTCACCTAGTGATCGAAATTCGACCGTAAATCTTTATTATTTTTTAAATTGTATCTTAGTAAATTGTTATAATAATAATGCACTACAGATCGAATTTCACAGCGGCCAGCCTTAACGAAGACACACATGCACTCATGCACTATAATGACAGCATTATAGTGCATGAGTGTGTACGCAAGCACAGATGTAGTCTCTATTCCCTCACTTTCATAGTCCGATGAGACAATCCGACACGACCAGAAAGAGATCAGGCGCAGTATCATATTTCAATCATCAATAATGTCACTCATGATTGATGATCAGGCATCCACTCCACTTACCAGTAGATGGACTGTGTGCTCGTGTGTTACCCTATTTCTTTAAAAAAAATCCTTCGTTCTTCGGCTTTACGCGCTTTCCATGGCACGGGTGTGAAACACCGCCAACTTCCACATTCCGGGCAGCTACTGACAATTTCTTGCCAGAAAAACTCTTTTTTTTCCAGATCTCTCGAACTCGAACAAAACTTTCACCAGTCGCGTTAAGGACCACCAGATCAACGAGGTAGTCAACGTAAAGATCAAGTCAACGAAAGGCATTTCCCATAGTTATCTCTTACGACACCACGGGACGAAATGGGAAGAAAGATTTTCTTCCGCCGTATCAAAACGATAATACCATTTAAATTTTTTACATTATATAATATATAAAAACATTGTTTGCTTTCGAGCGCCGATAATAATGTTAAGGAGGACGTATATGTGCCTCTAATCTCTAATATCTTGTTATGTACTGTACAATAACTTTTTCTAAGCCTTTGTAAGGATCATTCGAACAGAATACCTATACAGATGATACCAATTACGCGTATACAGGTAGCAGTTACAAAAAGTGTGCATACGTATTGCCGTGGCTTATTATATATAGTATATGAAAACTTAGTCATTACAATTTTTCCTATATATTTTTATATTTAAACTTCTTCATAAAAAAGTAGTCTCCAAAAATAAGTATTGATGGTTTAAAATGCTGTGGGTGGGTGCGGTCAAATGCAACCGCTCGGGATTTGACGGACGCATGCGACTGCATGGGATTTTTATAGGGGTTGAAGGGTTAAAATATATAATGTCGAACAGTCAAAAAGAAACTAAATACATTATTATTAAATATTTCCAGTGCAATTTCCAACGAGGAAGAAGAGTAAATGGTACATTACCAACAACGGAAAAGGGTTCTGGCTTCTCCCTTCTAGGCCTTCAGCCAGCTCCATTAGATCTGTTTCTAGTAAATTCTGTCCAGGTGGCAAGTTCAATAATCTGAAAATTCACAAAGAAAACCTTTAGGTAAATATTAAGTTTACATATTTTGTCGTGTAGTGACGGTGTAAGAACATCCTGTGGGTGTCGTAAGAGGCGACGAAGGGAAACTGAACCAAGAGATGGACAGCAGTATCTACCCGATAGTGTCTGAATACAACTAAAATGGTTGATAACCCGCCTGGCGAACGTGGCAGCTATGGCAAACATTCCCCTAGAGTGGCAAATATTCTCCTCTTCCCCTCCGACCTTCGTAAAATTTAAACGTGTCTTAAGAAACATATGGAAATCATTTTAAATTATTTAAAATTATTCAATTTGTTTTATTACATTGTTTTTTTAGAATAATATTTTTTTTATAATTTATTTTTATTATGGAGAATGTGGTTTTGTTTTAGAGTGGGTCCTATTTTTCAATTTTATAATAATGTTATTTTCATTATTATATTTAGGTGCAAAAACAAAAAAATAAGGTCACAGAAGAATAAAGTAACTGTTCAAACCGTGAGTGAGATTCCTTTTTTGTGTTCTGCTTGCCTAGTACTTTAAGAATGGGAGTTTTTTATGCAGGGGTTGTACTGCCCACCGAACTTAGTACTCAAAGAGTACTAGGCAAGCAGAACACAAAAACGTAATTTCACTCACGGTTTGAACATTTACTTTGTTTTTCTGTGATCCTTCCTATTTTTATGTTAATAATGGACTAGCCCTTTCCATAAAATAAGCGTCCATTGTTTTGTTAATTTTATTGCTTTCAGGCATCGCATGATCTCCTAGTACATAATAGCCAATAATATTTATCCATTGACCAATTTTTGCTGATATTTTTGATTAGCGCCTATAACGAGCTATTAAACCATCCCAAAAGTTCAGCGTCATCTTTTACTTAACAAGGTAACACAAGTAAGCTCCTCTCAACGTATCATCTCCTAGTACATGACGGCCAATATGAACAATTCCTTATCGGACTCGGAATTTGAAGTACCCACACAATATAACTCCACAAAGTTTTATATCAACCAGAAACAAGAGAAAAAGGTGTGACTATAGCGCTGCAAACCTTGCTTTACTAAGAGACGTAATGACTAGTAAGTACATGTTCAATACTATAGAATACATACACAATAGAATGGCTCTCAACATTTACTCTGTAGGAGGATCGGCGTCGCCGGTAGCACACATACAAGCAATTACGTCGTATTATCGGTTATCACTACTACAAACACATTTTAGACTTTTGATTAATGGTTTTGACACATAAATATTTCTTTATTTTTGTTTTTAATATTCGCAAAATATAAATAGTTTCGTCTTACTGTTTGTAGAATAGTGTCTCCTTTATTTAAATTCCATTTCTCGCTGTTCTTTCGACACGTAATTTATGTATCATTTGCCATTTTTTAAATAATTTGCATGCGGCGACGCTTGACCAGGGGTATGTTCCGAAATACAATCCAGTATACTGGCAAATGCAAATGACGTCATCAATTGACACTATATTGTACTGACGTGCCGCCGCCATATTGCGTCGGATATCCGGCCACAATAAAACAATTTTTAATTGTGTGTGCGCTGAATGAAGCATTTCAGCAGAATTCAGCACATTTCACAAGCAAGTCAAAGTTTTTATTTATTCAAATACAAAAATTTACAGAATAATTGCTGGTATCTCCATTAGGAAGATATAATGATTTTTGACGTCATTTGCATTGGACAGTACACTGGGTTCTATTTTGGAACATACCCAAGAAAATTGGAAACAATTGATTTTGTTGACATTTATACGTGTGAATTGACCTGTTACTGACATGTTAGTGGCTACACGAGCTCCGCCCACTCCCCCGTTCTATTATGTAAGTATTATAGTTTTTTTATGTTCAATACCTTTATAAATATTAAATACTCAAAGTCTAGAATTCCAAAAAAAAAATACGAATATACTTAGAGAAATACAAAAAACAAATAAGAATATTGAAAGCTCAATCTCTTTTCTTGCCGAGCTTAAATGCTGCTATTCAACTTCCGGTTTGTTTCCTTTCGTCGCCTCTTACCATCCCCGAGACAATATGGAGTAGTGGATATTCTTACACCGCCACAACACGGTCACATATCTAGACAGACGGCAGTGAAATAGCAGCTATACGTGGCAGAGTCACGCTGCAGCTATAGTATGGTTGTAGCACGAATATAGTATGGTTGTAGCACGAATGGCTCGGCTCGACCGGGGAAGGGCCACGCTCTCACAGAACACCAACATAAAATAACAGCTTAGTACTGCTGTGTTTTGTATGATGAATGTAGAGATCCGGAGACCCTTTTTTACTGGAAACGAGGCATTCCATCTTAGTCCTCAGGGGTCACAACGCATTTTGGTTCCAAATCGAGGATAAATGTAATTAGATCCAGGGTAGAGTCCACCTAGCATCAGGTGAACTATGTGCTCGTTTGTCACCCTTATTCTATGTGTGTTCGGTATGGTGAGTTTAGACAAGGTTCCTTTTTTACTGGTTAAGTGGCATTCCTAGCCCCAGGGGGTTACAACCCACCCACATTTAGATTCTTCATCGAAGATAGATATAGGTGTTTATGGACCACAGTGTCAATTTACCACCGGGTGGACTGTGTGCTTTTTTCGTACCTTATCCTATAAAATATAGTTTTGGACCAATCAGACGCATGTTTCTTATAATTATGATCTTCCGAACTTCCGATTAATAGTAGAGGTTGTAAACTTCAAGACGCTGTGCTTCTGACCTGGCTCTCAGCATTTCGTCAATAGGCAGGTCTTCCGGTATCTCCCTCTTCAAGTAAGGCACGTTGCCGGCGAGCATAAACGATGTGACTAACCCGCTCGGGCCATTGCCTGCCAACAAAGAATAAGTTAGAGAGAGAGTTAAAGTGAATTTTTTTATAAGTTAAAATAAGCAACAGTCACAATACTCAGAAGATGGTGTAATACTCAATAGCATAGTAGTAAAACAGCTGATTACCGCGCTGCGGGTTTCGAGTTCGTATCCCGCACGGAACATAACAGATAATTGTTCCCGGTCTGGGTGTTTGTCTTTGTACAAGATATGTAGGTAAAAAGGCTGCATGTTACAGTAGCGATCTTAATAACAAAGAAAAATATTTGGGGTGATTAACAACTAATAAAGATTAAGAAAAAAAGAAACGTCATTCCAAACCGCAAAACAATACATCAACATTAAATTATTTATATTATTTACATTAGATTTTTTTTATACAGTATTAGGTGACAAACGAGCACACAATCCACCTGATGGTAAGTGGATGCTGTGACCCATACCCATTTATCATCGATTAAGAATCAAAACGCAGATGCATCGTCTACCTTGAAGACTAAGATGGAATAACTCGTTTCCAGTAAAAAAGGGTCTCCGGTTCTCTACACTCACCATACGAACAGCATCATTACGCTGGTATTCTGTGAGAGCGTGGTGGTGCCCCTATCTAGCCTACCTATTCAAGCTTCAACTATTTTGGGGGCGCCTCCCCCAAAATTGAGTCTATTAAAGGGGTGGGAGGAAGTGGATACTCCACCACTAGGGGGAAACTAAAACAGAAAATGGGCAGGAACATTTTCCTAATAACAATTCAAAATAATAAAAAACTACGGTTTACAACCCGCCTACCAAACTTGGCAACTATAGCAAAAAGTATGCTATAGCAAAAAGTATGCGATAGCAAAAAGTATGCTATAGCAAAAATATCCTCTCCACTATTTTTGCTATAGTAAAAATAGTGGAGAGGCTTTTATTCAGCAGGGGCCTTTTATAGACTGTATGCTATATGTATGCTATGATGTACATATATGGATGGATATCACTTTTTGTTTATCCCGTATATTCCTATACCATTAGACTAAGTAGAGTACTTAACTAGTAATAAGAAGTACTAAACGTTTGTTTCTGACAAAAGCACGTAAGGAATGTATGACGGGCACAGCTTTTAAATCACGAATTGGATTGCAACAACTATAAAGCCACCGGCAACATTATAATACCGCATATTGTGAGTGTAAGGGGTTCCATCTTAGCGTTCAGGGGTGATAACGCATGCGAATTTTGAATTTTCAATCAAGGATAGATGTGTCTTGAGTAACTTATAGCATTCTAATTGATAGAATCAGGCGTTACTTTGCGGAAATCTTTGTTTTAAATATTAGTAATCTTATTAATTAACATTACTAATAGTCCTTTTAACCACTCCTGGTAAGCTCGAAAATGCTTGTGTTAGGAGTGGTTCACGACAGTAGTCAAATGGCGGATTCGAACCCACGACCTTTTGAGTTCGCGATCCGCGCCCTGCCATTAGGCTACTGTCGCTTCAAAATCCATTATAATAAATGATATTAATAGTTATTTTGCAACTATCCGCTAAATTATAATATATAACATATGCTGAATTATATTAATTTAGCGGCTGGTTGCAAAATAACTATTAATATCATTTATTATAGTATTCTCTTCCCATCAGGTGGTAGAGCCACGCTGCAGCTATATTATTATTATTTTATATTTATTTAATGACATTTAGAGAAAAAACATTACATAATTTTATAACTTCGCCAAACTGTAAAGACAGTTTGTTGGCGAATAAATGCACTCTTTTAACCTATTACATAATTAAATAAGTGCTCAACCCACATAATATAACAAACAAATAGAAATTTTAAACGTAAACACTATAATTTCCACACTATCAATTCCAAATACAACACCCCACCTCACAGAAATCTAAATAATATTTGCCTTATTATTTCGATTTCTGTGCCCCACCCACATAACATTGCAACAAAATAAAAATTGTAAATATAACCCGGATATATTTTTCAAATATTACAAACATATGGCAGTTTTCTAAATTGTCATACATCTAGCATTTTATCCATAAAATAATTCCCAAGTTTCTTTTTAATGGTTAATTTGCAATTAGGTCTATCTTGCCTTAGCCAATCTATTTCATTAAAAAGCTTTGGTATTAAATATTTTGTAAATCTTTTACCATAGTAGTTTTTAACACTAGGCTGAAATAATTTCCCTTCTCTAACTCTCCTGGTTCTATATTAATTATCCAATTTTTGGTTATAATGGTTTTTATTAATGTTTTCCAAAACTAATAGCATGTTAACTTTGTGTTCTACCGGTAAAATTTTACAAATAGAGAATAACTTATTATAATCTACTATGATAAGTGACATATATCTCTACTATGATAAGTGTAGAAAGTTCCACCACTTTCCACTCGAGATGCGAAGGCAAATAGCAGATATTACATTTCCACTTAAGATAGCTTGAGACGTTAAATATCAAAATTCCAATAAATGTTAGACGAAAGGCCCCACTATCACTACCCGCAGCAAAGACTAATTGTAGACAGAATAGTTATATGTACCGTACGAGCAAGAATTTTTATACTGTATCCCAATTGTTTAACTTAGACCTATTCAACACAAGTATCATTTCGGCGAGACGAGTTCTGAGTAAGCCTTTTTTCGATTCCAGCTGATGATCTTTTTTATTTCATTTTATTTTATTTTTTATATTTTTTGCTTTTGTTAATCTGTAATATTTAGTTATTTAATGCACGATGTTACTTAGCTAAGCTTACGGTTGGTGCCACAGTGTCCTATTAGCTATCGGTAACTCACCGCATGCAATTATTTATATAGTGCCACTATTTGCGAAAACCCATAAATGGTTTCCTATTGCTTAATTGTTTTCTACCTACTCTGTTTTTTGTTAACCGAGGGATTTCCGATTAAATAAATAAATAAATAGGGGGATATGTCGCTCGCGTCCGTAGGCTTCGACCACCTAATCCTAGGCCCACCCTACACGTTTCCCCCGGGTGGTGCTAAAAGAGCGACAAAGCCGAAAGAACAGACTCGGCTACTCGCCGTGTGGTAGCGGCGTAAAATATGCCACACCCTAGTTTTCACACCATGAGGCAAAAAGTAAAAGAAATGGCCCCGAGTTCCCGGCGCCCCTTTAATGGGGCAGGGGTGCGAAGAATCTCCGGGAGGAAAACCGGCGACGAGGTTCGCCACCCGTCACGTTCTGTCTCCCGGAGGGACGAAAAGAGGATTGCGGAGGCCCGTCTAGCTACGCTGAATGTATGTGGAGCAATGAACGATAAGATGGATGAAGTATGCGATATGATGTATGATAGAGGAATAGATGTGTTATGTGTAAATGAGATGAAGTGGAAGGGAAAGGATGTCACTACACATGGCATATATACCGCTTACTGGTCCGGTGTAGGCGAGACCGAGCGAGCATGCCAGGGAGTCGGTATCATCCTTTCAGAAAAAATGGGTTAATGTGTGAAAGAGTATAAATATGTAAGCCCGAGACTGCTATGGATACGAATAAAAGTGGGCCTAAAGAAGTTGTTTGTTCTAGGGGTCTACGCCCCAGACATGTCTAAGCCCACTTGTATCCGAGAGCAGTTTTGGGAGATGGTAAGGATGGTGTTAATGAAATGTAAGGAAAATGAAAATATTGTTATGTTAGGAGATTTTAATGGAAGGGTTGGGGTGAGGAGGCTTGGCTATGAAAGGATGGATGGAAGAGGTGATGAAAGTATTAATGAGAATGGTGAAAGCCTACTCACCGTATGTGTGGAAAGGAATCTTTTTGTGACAAACACTTTCTTTCGTCATAAGAAGATTCACATGTAAACTTGGGAAAGAGGTGATGATAGAAGCATGATAGACTTCATAACTGTAGATGAAAGAATGAGGAGCGCAGTGGTGGATACAAGGGTTTACCGGGGGTCCAACGTAGGGACGGACCACTACCTGGTCTTATGCCGAATTAGGGGTTTATTCAGACGTTGGCGGTATAGGACATCTGTGTCTACCACTGCGTTACAGCGTATAAGAATTGAAAGGTTACAAGATGAAGATGTGAAAGACAAGTACAAATGCAGACTGAGAGAAAATATAAGTAATTTCGATGAGTTGTGTATGAATGAGTTAGACTTGGAGAATGTGTGGCATAATGAATAAAACTATTATTTACGGATTTTATCGCGTTTAATTACTTTAATTTATTTTTATTATTATGACTCGGGCGCTGTAAAGCACCCGAAACGTCGGGATAATAATAAAAATAAATTAAAGTAATTAAAACGCGATAAAATCCGTAAATAATAGTTTTATTCAATGTGTAGTGTTCGCGTAAATTTAAGAAATCATTGTGTGGCATAATGTTAAGAAAGGTTTAGTGGATGCAGCTACCGAAGTATGTGGTGTTAGTAAGAGAACGAATGAAAGGAAAGACAATACGTTATGGTGGGATGATGAGGTACGTATGGAAGTTGAAGCAAAAAAGAGAGCATGGCTAGATTTACTAGCGACCAAAGCTGGTAATTCTGGCGGTAAGAATGATGAGAATGAAAGGAAAAAGTTTAAACGTTTAAATAAGAGAGTAAAAGAATTAGTTGAAAAGAAAAAGCAAGAAAGAACGGATAAGAATGATAGAAGAATATCGGATAACTTCCAGGCAAATATTAAAATGTTCTGGAAACTCGTAAGAAATATCAGGGGACTTTCAAAACAGACTAGATTGGATTTAGAAAGGGAATGGGGTGTACAGATCAAGTCTTTTCCATGCGCATGATCACGGAGAAGTTTTTGGCGAAAAACCAAAAAGTTTTTTGTGCGTTCATGGACTCGGAAAAGGCTTATGACAGAGTGGTCAGGGATGTGTTATGGCAAACGCTGAACGCATTTAGGTTGAGCGCTGGTTTGATACAGGCATTAAAGTCTCTGTATAGTTTGTCTCGTGGACTCGAGTGCTTGTGTTAGAATCAACGGGGTCTACTCGGACTGGTTTG